AAAAAAGTTTTATAATAAAGTTTATAAAATATGTTTTTAAGAATATATTTCATAAGTAAAGTATACCCTATATCATTGATAAATTATTATTTTATTTAAAAAATACTAAATACAATTTAATTTTTCAGGCAAATTTGTCTGAAATACAGTTTAAGAGATAATACAAATATTATATAAATAATTATTTAAATTTTCATCATTGATAGAATTTGAACACCCAATCTACCACTTAAGGAGTTGACAACTTAATTACTTTACTATGTTACTACACCTTCTGCTGAACAAATTTACTTAAATAATTAAAACAAATTATCTTAATTTTTTTTTTAAAATATTAAGGTAAGTACTTGTGATCTAGGATTTTATTAATAGTACATTCAGCTAATGGTTGCATTACAACCACAAGAGGCAACCATGGAAAGAGTATACAACTAGCCAATTATATAACTTTAGTCATTGTCTAATTTAAGTAGTCTGCTCGAAACTTCTACACTAGCTGCCATACCTGAAACTTACTTGTAAGTTCTCTATTTAACTACTCTATTCTCATATTCACCCACCTATCTACACTTACCAAGATGCCTTGGTCAATACTGATACAAATATGTTATGGTTACTAAGTCTTTAAAGCAGTTTACTCATATGAGGAACCTTTGACCTTGTATTAAACCTTCCAAAATCTTCTATATCCTATTCTTATAGTTGATCTGATATCACTATGGCCAAGACCAACACTGGTGGTCAGGACATACCATTTAACTGCTATGCCTTTGTAGAGTTCACCCCAATCCTAGTACTGACTTCACAACATATCTCTACTACTTTGGTATTCAATTTAAGTTCCACCAAGCTTCCAAACCAGATAGTCTGAAAAGGCAAATCATAACTATACACCTTTGGTTTACATGTTTGCCAACATGTAACCTTTTCCTCCAGAACCTGAAAATTTTGACAGCCTGGTTGGTTCCATTCAGCCCCTCCTCAAAGACTGACTCTTTATCCAATTTTACAAGTTCTAACTCTGTTTCATAAGTCTAGTCTTTACAGTAACACTGTCAAAAGTTCAGATTACCTTTCTATTCAGGTCTTTCAAGTGAGCTTCTGTTCTTCTACCTGGTTCCCATGATTTACACAGTTTAAGAACTTATCTTGAATTTACACTACCTGGTACCGGTTTGTGTTTTTACATATAACATTGCACAAATGCCTAAACCTTCTAGTCAGACTGGTATGATATGGGTTACAGATATCCTATCCTAACCAATCACGGAAGACAGTTAGTCATAATACAGAAAGAATTGCAAATTTTCATCATCACTGGAATTTGAACTCTAGACCTGCCACTTGGGAGTTGACAACCTATCCACTTCACTAGGTTGCCATACCTCTAACAAATTATTTTAATAAAATAAATAATTATAAATATTTTTTAACAAATAAGTTTTTTGATTAAAATTTATACAATAAAGTTGTTTCCTTATATGGGTTAGTTAAAATAAACTAAAAAATAAAAACTATTAAAATACAAAGTAAACAAAATATTATCTAAAGTAATAAAATATTTAAAAATAGTTATATATATGTTTAAAAAAAACCAAAAAAAAAAAATATATATATATAATATAAATTGTTTGAGTTCCAGTGTTAGGTTAAAAAAAAGAAGTATAATAGTCTAAGACTGTTTTAGTATATATGATTCTGAAACTTTGGTTTGGGTTTTTGATAAGAATAATATAAAGAACTATACTGTTTTTTATAATTGATTGTTACCTTATTTAAGAAAAAACATTATCCTTAAATTGACAAAATACGAACATGATCTACATTGTTTTTGCAAATAAATAGCCAATCAAATGAATTCATAGTTTAATCGTCAGTAACATTAATTTTTTTTTTTAATGGTAAATTAATTGGTTTTTTTTCTTTAGTACCAAAACGCGTGTTCATATTTTCTTAAACTGTCCAATTGTAAATAAAAAGTCGCGCCAAGAGCTAATAGGTCCTCAAGGTCAAGCTTTTTTTTTTTTTTTAAACTTTTCTCGATCGACTTTTTTTTAATCGAATTTTTTGGACTACAGGATTGCGACAGGATGGTCGTCGTGCCAATGAATTAAGAAAAATTAAGTGTAAGCCTTCTGTGTTAAGCCAAGCTGATGGATCAGCTTATATCGAACAAGGAAATACAAAGTGCTTGGCAGCTGTCTATGGACCAAGAGAGGTAGATATTTTGTAGTTAATTACTTCGAGAAAAAATATTAATACACTAATATGTCGACTTTCGTTAGACTAGACAAAAGGCTCAAGTAATACATAATAAAGCCAATATCAATGTGGAAATTAGCTTGGCACCTTTTAGCATGCCCCAAGAACGAAAAAAGAGATCGAAATCTGACAGGTATTCTTTATATACAGATACATATGTTGTAAGTGAAAACAGAATTTAAGTGGATTCGGAAATTTTTAATAAAACAGCATTTTAGGGTTGAATTTATCATATGTAAACCCATACCTTAACCCTAATTTAAATAGGAAATTCCGAATCTTAAATTCCGTTTCAATTTACAACATATATATAAAATATATATAAAAATAAACATTCATATATTTTCAATATAGGCGACTATTAGAAATCGCATCTGCTGTCAAACAAACATTTGAACCAGTTATAATGACTAGTTTGTTTGCTAGATCTCAGATTGATATATATTTACAAATCTTGCAATTTGATGGAGGTATGTATTTGTTAAATCTCTTGGCTTAAAGTAATGAATTATTTAAACAATTATAATATCACATTTATTTCGTTAGGTACTATTCAGATCTGTATTAATGCCGCTACGTTAGCTTTGATCGACGCTGGTATACCTATGCAGGAATATGTTTGTGCTTGTTCAGCGGGATGTCATGAAAATCATGTATTGTTGGGTAGGTCAAAGTTTGTCACATACATACAGATTTTATGATGTATTGAGTGTCGCCAAGTAAAACTAGGAAATCTAAATATAGAATAATATTTGTACTTAGACTTTATGGTTCTCACTTTGTGGCACTCATTTACTTAACGTAAAAGTCATCAACGTAATTTTTTAGACCTCAACAACGCTGAAGAAATGGCTGATACACCGGAATTAACTGTTGCATTACTACCTAAGTCTGGAAAGTTTACGCTCCTTCAGGTAATTTAGGATTCTGTACAAATATGTTTATTTATTTTTAACTATATTCCATAATTAATCATTTCATACGTCATTTGCAAAGATGGATTCACGTCTCCATGTTGATAAATTGGAGCCAGTGATGAATTTGGCTGCATTAGGTTGTAAGGATATTTACGAGATCTTGGATGAAACTGTTCGCGAATATGTAAAGGATCTGCTTCACAAATCTTCACCTTATTGAATATATTAACAAATATGTAAATAGGCGATTTATCTAGCGTCAGTTTGTAATAATTTTTTGTCTCAAACAATAATATTACAAGAAAAATTATATATATCGGTGAATGGTATTTCTTGGTATTAAAAAGTCTAAATTAATGTAGACTATCCGTTGTATATAGTGACCCTGGTCGATAATTAATCAGCCTTTGTTTTAAAATCGGGTGATAAATTTTAAAAATGCTATTCTTTTTGTATGGCAACTGTCTCAAAATCGAATCTCAGGCTAAAATTTTTAATAATTTTACAATTTGACAGTAACTAAGTAAACCATGGCACTAAATTTAGCTCAACATTCAACTAAGAATCGTTTCAATCAGCGTACGTGCGTACTGGATTATTGATTAGAAAGTCGACTGAGGGTAAAAATTCATTGGCTTATTCTAGCTGATGCAAATAGTACCCAGTGTGATATACTTAATCGTATGTAAAAATCAATCTCACGTGCGTTACCCATCATCTATACCATTTGTCACACTGGTGCTATTTTCCGAAGATATTATTTAACTTTTTTTCATTTTCTGCCAACAATGCGCTTGAACACACCAGTAATAGGCCCTATAATATTTTCAGCCGTCCAGGGAGTCATCAATGCACAAGCCGCGAGACGAACAGGCATTAATGCCTTTAAAAAATTTACGTGTTCACCAACAGTTAAATATACTTGCAAGGTGTTGAAAATACATCATAAAAAATCATACCTTAACAATTGCATAACTTGTAGCAAGGTTCAAAAGCTTTCTACTCCCATTTTCAAAAGGTGAATACCCATAGTAAACTACAATTCGATTAATAAATTTATTTCCTTCGTCCAAAGCTTGTTGCGGAAAAGGTATTTCGATACCAGTAGCTGAAAGGAAAATATAAATAATTGGGATTGGTGCTATTGCTGTCAGTTCATGTAAAATAGCAAATGAAATTATGTAAGAGGTTGGTTTTGAACGAAATTGAGACGCATATTTTCGCCAGCCTTTTAATTGTTTTTCATGATGGCTGGAGAAAGGTTTGTGTGGATAACGTGGAATTATACGTGAGATTGGCTGGAAATTAATGTTAAATGAATTTTTTTGTTTGAAGTATTTGGACGTTAACAAAGGTGCAGTAGAATAAAAAGGTTGTTTTAAAATACGTGAAAACATAATATTTCTAACTTCAGAAAATGTAGCAAATCGATTTCCTTTATGCAATTTGATGTTACATATTACACTAACGTTAAGTCTCAAACTGTATTGTCATTTTTCATTCAGTGAAAATTGAAAAATGACACATGTCAATTGATAATTGACATAAATTGAAAAACGATAGGAAAATATGTACCTACGTACGTTGTTCCGAAAAATGAGCATTTTACGGAATGATAATCTAGAGGTTTTTCGAAAATTTGTTAATAGGGTACGAATTGCACGAGTACGAACCGTACGAACTGTATGAGTACTGTACGAACTGTACAAAACTGTACAAATTACTAAGAGACATGACTAGGGTCAATTAAAAATTTTATTAATAATAACTAAGGTCATTCTTTTATGACCTGGAGGGCTAGCTTGGTACAGCCCTCAGGTTCGGATAACATCTCAACAAGTACTGTATTACGAATTGTATTAGTACTGCATTAAACTGTACGAATTGTAGTAGCAACTGCACTAAATTGCTCTGAACTGTACAAATTGTACTAGTGCTTAGTAACTGTACGAATTCAAACATTGTAAAAATATCAAGTTGACTTTAAGAAATTTTGCAAGAATGTAGTTTCAGATTAGGGAAAGAGAAGCATTAACAAAGGCAATTTGTAAAAACACTGCCGTGTATATGTCGTACATCGGAATGGAGATTTAAAACCACCTAGTTGGAACGGAATTCTGAATATAGTCCGAGTTGATACGAAATTCAATAAGTTAATAAGGAAATGGGCCGGGCTGGACCGGGCCTACTTGGGCCCAAATCTAAATCCACAAAATATTTATGAGTGCCTACTTAAAAAAAGTTATGGGCCGGATCGGGTCTATTTTTAAATTAGGCCCGTTCCAATCAGCCCGTAATATAAAACTCATACAGGGGGATCCCCAAAATTCCGGGTCGGAATACCTCGGATTTAGCCCGGCATTTAGTTAGCATTTAGTAATACAAGTTAACCATTTTGGGCCAAAATTATCAGCTGGGCAGCTTTACTTAATGAGTGAGCTATGGTTTCATTAGTAAAACTTTTAGTGATCTTGGGCAAAATTAGTTAATTCCGGCCCTGCCAATCATGATTCTGATGTATTCCGACCCGGAATTTTGGGGATCCCCTGTATGAGTTCGTAATATAATACGTACATAACAATCAATGGAAAACTGATTAATAAAAATCCTATTTAAACATTATATAAAATAAAAGATTTGAATTATGAATTTTATTTATTTATTTTTTTTTTTAATGTTAATGTGAGTACTTGTAATTGAGGATTTTATTAATAATCTGTTTTAGCTAATAGTTGTTTGTACAACTATAAGAGCAATTATAAAAAAGTATATAACTAGTCATTTATACAATTTTAGTTATTGTCTAATCTTTTTTTTTTTTTTTTAACTTAAGCAGTCATGTTAGTACTTTATTAAGACTCTTGAAATTATTTTTGCAATTATATAGATTTATCTAACAACTAAGTCTAACATCATCTGGTCATCTACAAGATACCTAAGTGCAACCTGTCACACTACTTCAAACAGAAATAAACTACTTATCTGACTATTTAAAGTTCATAATAAAAGGGTCTTCTTCCTTTCATAACAAATTCCAATATTATTTTTTTAGTTTTTTCATTAATTCTATCTTTTTTCTTTTTTGTTTGTTTCTTTTCTTCTTTAGTCTTTTGCTGATCTGTTTTTTCTTTCTTCTTTAGATTCTTTTTCTTTACTTTTCTTTTTTTTATTTTGGTTGTTATACTTTCTTTCTTCTTCTATCCATTGACCTTTTCATATTGTATCCTTCAAACTTGTTTATAGAATATGTTCTATGTTATCTTTACTATCATTTCTATAAACTGTTGTCTTGTTTTTGTATTTAGAAGTTGTATTAGTCTGTTTTGTGTTTTTTTCAGAATTAAGTTTTTAATTAAAGTTTCTCTTATCTCTATTTCTTCTACTTCAATTTTTCTAAAGAGTGTTATATATAGTACATATAATGAGATGTGAATTTTTTCTTTTTATTTCAATCTTTTTTAAGCTGTTGTGATCATTACTTTTTGGATTTGTTTTCAGAGACTCTGCTATCCTTTGCATAATGCTAGATATAACTATATTTCTTTAACTTTATCTTAATATATTTGGCACTCTATTGTTGTATATATATCTGATCTTCTTCTATTAAGTTCTTCTAAAGTCAGAAGTTTATCTATCATATACTTTATAGATGTACATCGTCTTGTACTATTTTTTCTTATTATATAATGCATTCCTTTAGTTATTTTTAGTCTTTTTCAAAATTATGTTTAGTCATGAATCATGATTTCTGTTTTTAGTTCTAATTTTCTAATTATATTTGTTTCTTTTCATTCTGCTTCTAATCTTGTAATTTGTATAACAAACTTGCTAGTATATTAGTTTGTTTGTTTTTTTATTTTAGGTAATATTCTATCTCTTTATGACTAACTTTTTCTATTTGTATTACTTTCTCACTTATTATTCCCTTTTTTTGTAAGACTATTAGCTTTGTCATTCTACTTGATCTTACTATAACTTTTAATTTTTACTAACTCTATTTGTACCCTCTTTGTGTTAATAAGATCTATAATCTTCATTATCTATATTGTATTTTTTTTTCTTAAGAATTTTCATTCTATTTATTTACTCTAAACTTTTATTAATATTTCTTATTACAATATTACTGTCTATATATATTTCTACATATCTTTCTCTTAGTATTGTTAAGATTGCTATCCATATTGCTACTAATTCTGCTATTATTGATATTGTCTATTCTTCTAGTCCTAATAATGTTTTTTCTTCTGATTACTCTTATGTTTCATTTGTTTAGATCCATTTTATACTCATGTTTCTACTTTATATTTTCTCTTTAATCTTTATATTTGCAATACTATCTGTATATATAATATATTTGTTTTTGTTTCTTGATAAGTTTCTTCTTAGTATCTTTAAGATTTCTTGGTTAATATTTTTATTTAGTTTCTATCATTTGATTATCTCTATTTTTTAACTCTTCTATCATTATTAGTTCTTCAAGTTTCTGCTTACTATCTTTTAGTTTTTCTGTTTTTACTTTTTCTATCAACTGGTCCATAGCTATTTTGATCTTGTTATTTCTCTTTTTCATCAATGTGTCAGAAATTACTCTAATCTTGTTATTTATTCTTATTTATTGCTGACAACTGCCTTCTCTTCTTCTGTACATCTGTCACATCTACTAATTTCTGTTACTATTTCATTCTCTTTATTTTGTATTTACTAATATTCTAGTAAGATCTTTTTCTTTTTTATTATCTTTCTTAATTATTTATAACCTTGTGCATTATATATTATCTACTCTTTTTTTCTTTTATCTTTTGACATGACCTTTTATTTTGTTTTTATTACTTAAATATTATGTCTGTTTGTCTTAAAATGTTCTTTGATTTTCTTATTTGTTGACTCTTCAAGTAATTTGAATTCTATTTCTTTAAATCATTTTGCTTTTTTAACTTTATTTAACTGTTTGCATTAGTTTTTAAATTGTTGTCATGTGATCAACTTTTTATCTTTTATATTAAGTAGTTAATTTAAATAAAATAGACTTGTTTTACTTATCTTTATTCTACTTCTTTTTCATAAATATGTTTCTAACAATTTTCATATTTTAGTACTATATTCAAATATTCTTTATAATTTATTTTTAGTTCTTATACTTATTTCTAGCTTTCTTGCTTTTATTACTATCAAATACATTAAGTTGTTCTTTCAATATACTTTGTTAGCTGGTATTTTCTT